TCTCTCTGCTCATCCCCAGTGTGTGTATGACAATTGGTGCTGCCCACCCTCCCATATTTATTGTGTGAGGTGATTTGCAGGAGCTCTCACCCTCACATCTGCTCAGCGTCCCAGATCATCAATTCTGTCCCCTGCCCCCACAACCTCCCTTCTGCCCCTCCTGGGATTCTTCACCCCCTTCCCAGGCCTTGGGGAGCTACAGCGGGGTCCTCTTTCCCATTTCCAGGTTGGGGGGGACAGCTCCAGGGGCTCTTCAACCCCCCTTCCCAGACCACAGGAGGGGAGGTGGGAGTGGGAGTGGAGGTGCCCTGAGATGCTGGACTTTCTGCTCCCTCCTTCCCCCTTCCCTCCTGTGAGTATGGTGTCAGCTCAACTTGCTTCCTACAGCAGCTCTGATTGGCTGCTCTAACCCACATGGTGGGCACTGGGGGGAAAGCAGCCATCAAAGAAGGTGCCCCCCCCCAGGCAGGGCTGAACTACTCTAGAAAAAAGGGCTGGAGCTTCTAGCCTCATTGCCAGGGAGTCAGCCCTGACTGAAATCCCACTGCTAGTGGAAAAATTGAAAGTTTCCTGCACTGAGGAGCCCAGAGACCCCTACATTATAGGGACTAAAACTTCAGGTAGTATGGTAGGAAGTGGCCCAGGGAGATAGAGTGAGTGGTATCTGCCACCTGTGTAAGGCCAATGTGTTGCAGCTGGATTCCCCACTGATCCAGTGGCAGACCACTCTGCCACTGTTAGGGCCCTGGGCTGGGACCCAGTGGAGTCAGGTGGGCCTGGGTCCCCCTACCCTGGCTGCCACCCCCACTTTGGTAGCGGCCCCTGGATCTGATCCCTAGGCCACACAGCCCTGCTTTCGAGGGCCGCCATATGGACCCCGGTTCCTAGGCTGCCGCTTTGACTCTGGCCATTGAGCCGTACTGTCTTGAGTCCCAGAATGGTCTAGTAGAGTGTAACCGTGGTGTCACCACACCCACAATCCACCTCAAAGGGGGATGCAGTGTGCATAAATCACCACAGGCAGGCAGCCAACAAGGCGCTGCTGATCAGCTGGGAAAGATGCTATTGTACACAGAGCACACTGGCATTATGCATTCCAGTCCCCGTTCAGCAAGGTTCTTACACCCCCATAGATTTCAATCCTCATCCACAATCACACCAGCTCACCCCAGGCCCCCTGCCATGTGTTAAGAGAAAATACTGAAAATGATAAATGTTTTATGCACAAGCATGTCTCCATTATCTATACTTTACCATGGTGATTGGTGCAGTAGAAATAATGTATAAAGTTATATACAACAACAAGATATGTGCATTGTGGATGTGAATTTTTGCTCCCATTCCATTGCCTGATCAAACAATCCTCCCCACTTTTGCTAGTCTGGCTCCAATCTTGTAACGCAGTGGTACTCAACCTTTCTAGACAGTACCCCTTTCAGGAGTCTGATTTGTCTTGCATACCCAATTTTTACCATATAATTATAACATAAATTTGGAATATCAATATTGTACTTACGTTTCAGTGTATAGTATATAGAGCAGTATAATTGAGTTATTGTCCGTATGAAATTTTAGTTTGTACTGACTTTGCTGGTGCTTTTTATGCAGCCTGTTGTAAAACTAG